GTAGTAGTGTAGTGGTAGTGGTAGTGGTAGTGGTAGTGGTAGTGGTAGTGGTAGTGGTAGTGGTAGTGGTAGTGGTAGTGGTAGTAGTAGTAGTAGTAGTAGTAGTAGTAGTAGTAGTAGTAGTAGTAGTAGTAGTAGTAGTACTAGTAGTGGTGGTGGTGGTGGTGGTGGTGGTGGTGGCGGTGGTGGTGGTGGTAGTAGTAGTAGTAGTAGTAGTAGTAGCCGCGCCCTTTCTCGATTGTCCATCTGTCTTGCCCCGCGCTGCGGACGACCCGCGCGCGTCGCTGGGGCCCTTTCGGGGCGACCAGCGCGCGTCGCGGGAACGCCGTGCTGCGCTCTACCCGGCGCCTCGCTCGCCCGTCGTCGCTCTGCCCAGCGGCCGGGGCCTTGCCCGCTATCGGCCGGCCAGCTAGCTCCCTTTGCTCCGCGCGGCGGATGGCCCGCGCGCGTCGCTGGGGCCCGCTCGGGGCGACCGACGCGCGTCGCGGGGGCTCCGCGCTGCGCTTCGCCCGCAGGCTCGGACGCTGGAGTGCGCGGGCAAAGAGGGGGGGGGCGTGATCGACCCGCGGACCCGGCGTGATCGACCCGCGAACCCAGGAAAGGAATATTTGCAGAAATGTCAGGCGCGGCAACGCTTCAAAGACCCCTGATTGGGCGACGGGCAAATGCAATGCCGAATGTATCGATGTTGGTGTGCCGTGCCGATGGCTGTTCGGTGCAGCGCCGTGCTGAATTGCGATGTGCCGTGCTGCGGCGACTGTGCTCTATAGCGCTGTGCATCGAGTCCTCCTGTGCATCCGATTCCTGGCCGAACTGATCTGGATCTTAAGTTCGAACTGCCTGAGCACATAGTAGCTACCCCAGAGCTAATTGACAGGGTGATATGCCAGGAGGACGCGCCGCGGAACGTCCCAAGGGACGCGCCAGGCGTCGTGCCAGGGGGCGTGCCATGGGGGCGCGCCGCGGGACGTGCCAAGGGGACGCGCAACGGATCGTGCCAATGGACGTGCCGCGGGACGTGCCAGGGGATGTCGCCGCGCGACGTGACAGGGGGACTCGCCGCGGGGCGCGCCACGGAACGGGCCAGAGAACGTGCCAGGTTGCAATGCTGAGTGTATCGATCATGATATGCCGTGACGAGGGCTGTGCCGTGCTGCGCCGTGCTGAATTGCGATGTGTCATGCCGCGCTTGTGCTCTATAGCGTTGTGCGTCGAGTCCTCCTTTGCATTCGAATCCTGACCGGATTGATCTGGATCTTAAGCTCGAGCTGCCTGAGCACATAGCAACCGCCCCAGAGCTAACTGACAGGGTGACATGCCAGGACAACACGCCGCGGAACGTCACGCGCCAGGCGACGTGCCAGGGGACGTGCCATGGGAACGCACCGCGGGACGTGCCAAGGGGATACGCTACGGAACGTGCCAACGGACGTGCCAACGGACGTGCCACGAGACGTGCCAGGGGACGCGCCACGCAACGTGCCAGGGGGGCTCGCCACGGGACTCGCCACGGAACGTGCCAGGGAACGCGCCAGGTTGCAATGCTGACTGAGTGTATCGATCTCGATACACCGTGTCGACGGCTGTGTTGTGCCTGGGCGACCTGGGCACGTGAAAACAAACGTTTCGTTCAAGACATTCTCGACAAGTCCTCATGCTAGACATCCGCCTGGGCTACCTGGACACGTGCAAACAAATGTCTCGTTCGAGACATCCTCAACAAATCCTCATGCTAGACATCTGCCTGGGCAACCTGGACGCGTGAAACCAAGCGTTTCGCTTGACACATTCAAGATCTGGGCACGTAAACAATTTTTCACTTGAGAGATCCTGTGGATTCTGGTCCCCAGGGGAGGAACATCTACAACTCAAAACAAGTCTTTCGCGCGAGACGTCCTCAGCAAATTCTGCAAAACAAGCGTTTCGCTCGGGACATCATAGAATTTTAATTTGCCGGCCCTCTTCGACCTCGTCATTTATTGGAAAAGAAATTCGTAGGCCCTCTTCGAACGTGGCGCCGGAGATAGGTTTACCTACTAAGCGAGAACCTTGGGCCTAAGTTCTTTCCGGGAAACTGAAGGGAAGGAAACGGGCGCGATCCTCGTGAGCGGCGTGCCGACATGGGCGTCGCGGCGCGCGGGCGCTGCGATCGGGTTTCCCGGGGAATCTCCCTGCGGCGGCCGCGCTCAGTGTCGCGAATACTCAAAATCAGTCGTGCTTAAACCATTTACTTTCATATACATGCATGCGAGGCCTAGTGATGTTCGCATTCATGCACAGTAACACCTCGCTCGCACGCACATTCATTCACGACCGGACTCACTCGCGTTCAGTCAGACTCTCAGGCTCACCCGCTTTCGGTCTTACGTACTCAGACCTATCGTCTTCGTTCACCTTGTGTAACCCGCTACACATTTCGGCACATTCCTCGCGTGCTTCGTGGCCCCATGGGGAGCACCGCCGAAGAAGATATTTACAATTGCGGTACTCACAACTGCATGTGGTTGGGCCCTTCGCCAGCTTAGGTTTGGGGGGGAGTTGTGGTTGGCGGTGTGCGAGGTCGGGTTGCGAGGGGCGCGGGCAAGTATCTCGTACGTGGGGTTCTTATGACTAGGTGGGCGCCGTTTGATGATTATCGTCGCCGCCATCTGCCATCGTCATAACAGGTACGGCGTTGATATTCTTTTTGCAATCGTGTAGGGACGCCGAGGCAGATAGGTGGCCTGTCGAGATTTTGATACTTCTGTGTTTATCGTGCTCATACGCGTGCCGACTTCCAGCTGTAGTTGGTTTCCATCAATTCTCATGCCTCTTCTTTTTACGGCGAAGCCTCGGTTCAACGGCGTGTCCAGATTTCATCACGATGTGAGGGGCATTTGTTCTCTTCCGATGATTTACTGCGAAGTTAGCGATTCTGACCAATGTTGGGGGGGCGGTTGTGGGGCGTGTGGGGGCGGTTCTGGGGCCATCGTGGGGCGTGTGGGGGCGGTTATGAGGCCGTCTTCGACTGCCCCAGAGATCATTTGGGTGTTGGGGCCGCTCTGAGTTGTTATGTGATTGTCAGCGTCGCGGTCGGGAACATCTTGGCATATCTTGATCCTACCAATCAAATCGTAGTATTGTGGTTTCCCACACCACTCTAACTCAGCCGATACCTTACGTAATGTTTCACAGCTATGTTCTCGTGTTCGGTCTATGCTTCTATCATGCGCAATCGGTCTTAACCCCACGAAGTGGTTGGAGAAAAAAGGCACCCTCCACTACCGTTGCTGGAACGGGTATGTTGGACGCGGCCGAGGTGGGTGGGCATGCGCCTTTGTTCATCGATGCCTTCTACGACCATGAGAAGCCAGTTGCGCACATAGTTATGAACATGAAATCTTTTTTGACAATGCCGTCAAAAGCGGACCTTCGCAAATGGGGACCAGAAACAGAATGGAGTTGTGAGTGGACGGCGCCGAACGCGAGGTTGGCTCAAAACGTCGCGGTTCTTCGAGGGTACACAAATGTTGACGCGCATGCTAGGGCGCAGTCAACGGATGGGCGTGCTTGGCCGAATGCAACAGTGGAGTCAGATTTCAGAGATGACAGTGCGCAACCTGCACCCCATTGGGCCATAGTCATCTCTTGTCCTACGATATCATCTCTGCGCGGTTCCACGTCTGCGCGTCTCAACCTGAGAGCCAAATACAATGGCGAATGGGTGTATGATCGGTACGGAATTCCGGTAAGTGATACACGTTTTGTAAAACCTGACGTGGATTCTGCTGTCTGCACAATGGTTTACCGAGGGCCCCTCACAACAGCAGAGTACTTGATACCATGGGCAAAGTACCATTTGGCAGCGGGGTTTGATCAACTGTTGGTTTATGTTGAGGATAAGAATGCTTCTTGGGTTGAGGAGGCACTGGACACATTCATTCAGAAAGACCAGGTTACAATTGTTCCCTTTTATTCGAGAGGCTTGCGCCTCTACGCCGACCTCCAGCAGAGGATACGTGCGGCGTCCGATTTCGTATGTCTTGTTTGACACTTCACGACGTGCTGCCTGCGTGTAGTTGTTGCTGACTCGTTTTCCTCTTCCTCCGCGTCTGTTGGGCGGGTTTCTTGAGGGCCTCTTGGATGCCAAGGGGGCAGCCACATGGAGCCTTGCCAAAGCGCCTGAGGGCTTCCTCGGGCCCTCTGGGGGCTTCTTGGGGGCCTCCGGGGGGTCTTGGGGGTATGTTGGTGATCTTGGAGTCCATTTTGTGGGGAGGGCTCCTGTGGGCCCTGCAAGTTTCGCCTCTCGGGCCTCCCTTGGGCTTTTTTTGGGGTCCTCTGGAGGCTTCTTTGGCACTCCAGGGGGGCATCTTGGGCCGTCTTAGGGCACTCATTGGCCGTGTCCAGGCCCTCGTGGGCGGTTCGTGGGCCGGTATGGGAGGCCTCTCGGGCCGTATTGCACGTCCAGGAACGATCATAGTAATTTTTAGGACGCCCTTGGTTTTTACCTCCTGGGGCACTCTTGGGGGCGCCTCTGGGGACCGTCTCTTGTGGCCATCCCTGGCCACGACCCCCCCCCCCCCTTCCAACTGGATTTTGAACCTCAGGGGAGGGGCAAGGGGGAGGGGAAGAGAGTTTTTTCGACCTCCTGGGCCAGAACGCGCGTTATGTCCCTTACCCTCCCCCCCCATAACGTAACGCTTCCCCCTTCAGTGGGTCCCCCGGCACTGCCGAAGTGCGTACGTCTGGCACCACAGTCGGGGGTGGGCGCTATGCTCTACATGACGGCCTCTCCTGTCCCCCCCCTTCCTCCTCCTCCTCCTCCTCCTTCTCCTCCTCCTCCTGTCCCCCCTCCCTCCCCCCCATAGCGACCGTTTTGGCCGCGAATATAGACATGCGCTCCATCACACTTTTCACCCCGAGCAAATAGTGGAGGTTGGCGGACTTTGGCAAGATCTCCGAGATGAAGAACTTCATTCTGCAGGGCGCCATGGAGAATCATTGCCTCTACCAAGCGCGAGGTATGGCCAAGTGGATTGCGCACATCGACGTCGATGAATATCTTGACTTCATGGATTCGAATGTCAACATGCGCAATTATCCAGGAGCCAGCGGCAGATCCGCCATGTGCTAGCGCAGCGTCGAACTGTAGGAATGACGCTTCTACGGAGTTCTCTGGAACAGGATCCGTAGAACCATCCTGGGACCACTTGGACATGATAGCTAGGGCGCTGTAGATCAGGCGGCGAGCCAGTGGGAAAAGTGAGAATGAGAAGGCCTTCTCAGAAGGTTCGGAAGCTCCCCGGCCTTGTGAGAAGTTTTCTAAGCCTTCCCCGAAGACAGACAACAACTGCTCAGAAGGCGCGAGGGCTTCTGAGAAGTCCCGTTCCCTCCTGAAAAGGCCTTCTCCTTCTCCTTTCCCCCTCTCGCTCGCCGCCGACCATGGTTGTTGCATTGCCTCTCAGGGTCTCTCTTGGAGGCTTCTTTTGGGGCTTCCCTCGGGCCTCCTGTTGAAGCCTGCCTGGGGTCTCGGGGCCGTCTTGGGCCGTCTCAGGGCCGTCTTGAGCAGGATGATATTTTAAGACCCTCGGGTCGTGTCTCGGGGCAGTCTTGGAGCCCCCTGCTCGGGCCGTCTCGGATTTTCGTACAGACTTTTATATTTGTATTTTTCTTGTTTTCTCATACTGGGGTGAAGTATGAGCCATATTGCATACTCCCTCCTGTCGGTTCCTCAGTTCCGCAGACAGCACAACAGACGTCCACAACATGCGTCAATTGCCAAGACGTGGCGGCCCCGCACGAAAACCGATTCTGCGTAACACTATATCATGCGGAAGTGTGTGTGTGTGTGTGTGCTTGTGTGCTTGCGTGCTTGTGTGTGTGTGTGTGTGAATGTGTGTGTGTGTGTGTATGTGTCTGTGTCTGTGTGTGTGTGTGTGTGTGTGTGTGTGTGTGTGTGCGAATGTGTGTGCGTTGAAGATTAGGAATCGGGGATTGTGTTGGGAGCGCATGCAGCCGACACGTGTATGGTGGGAGAGAGGAAGGGGGGAGTGAAGGGGATGAGCAGGGTAACAGGGAGGATGATGATGAGGAGGAGGCCGAATAGGAGGAGGCCGAAGAGGAGGCGGAAGAGGAGGAGGAGGAGGAGGAGGAGGAGGAGGAGGAGGCGGAAGAGGAGGAGGAGGAGGAGGAGGCGGAAGAGGAGGAGGAGGAGGAGGAGGAGGGAGGCGGAAGAGGAGGAGGAGGAGGAGGAGGAGGAGGAGGAGGAGGAGGAGGAGGAGGAGGAGGAGGAGCATGATGAGGAGGAGGAGCAGGAGGAGGAGGATGGGAGGGAGGAGAAGGATGCGCAAGAGGAGCATGATGAGGAGGGGGAAGCATGTGGCGCGCGAGCTGGCGAGCTGCGGCCGCTGTGCGAGACACCGGTCGCCGTGCTCGGCGACGGCCCCGCTCGTGCCAGGGACCTGCTGGCCCCGCAGCCTCGCAGCAGTCGGCCGGGCGGGTCGCTGGCGAGTCGCCGAGCCTCGCGCGACGGCGCGAGCTGCTTCCCTTACATCGGGCCCGTCCCTCTACAGGGGGAATTTTCAAAAACAGTAAACAAATAGTCAGGGGACGATTTTTCGACTACTTTTGATCACGTGGGGGTGTTGTTCGAGTACTTTTTTTTTTTTTTTTTTTTTGTTTTCCCCCCCCCTGGTCAAACTCTCCCTGTAGGGGGACACGCCCGACCTAATGCTCCCCCCGACTCGCCCAGCACGCGCGCGCCCCGGAGCGAGATGCCCCTCGCAGGCAGGCGGGAGCTGCTGCGCAGGCGGCCTGCGGAGCCGGCTCTCCGGGGATCGCAAGGGGCCGCCCCGGCCGCGGCCCGCGGCGCGAGAGCGACGCCGTCGCGACGCCGCCGCGACGCCGCCGCGACGGCGCCGGCCACGCGCTGGCGAGGGGGGGTCCTTTGTCGCCGGAGCGCCCGCCGTGTGCTCGCTTCGCGGCAGGGGGTCCGGCGATCGCGAGCACGGATCCAGGGGGCGTGGAGCAGCGCCGGGTCCCGCTTCCAGGAGGAGTCGCGGCCGCCCGCCGCCGAAGGAGGCGGCACCGGCCGCATTCTGGGGGAGGGCACCTCCCCCGATATCCGTGGATTTGGCGACCGCGCGCCAAGTCCATGGGATCGCTAATCCATGTTTGCGCGCCCCCGAGTGGGATGATGGTCTACTTCCTCGGCGCCCTGGACCCGGCCGGATGGTCACCACCCACCAAACCACCCCAACCCAACCCGAAGGCCTCAATTTGCCGTCCATTTCCAGTGGGGGGGGGGTCGGGGAACACTGAAAAAACACATGGAACCCGTATCCCCCCCAACCCGAAATTCGGGTCAAATTCGGGTCTTCGGGTTGGGTTGGGGTGGTCTGGTAGGTAGTCAGATGGGGTGGCCTTCAGCCGACGGCAGCGCCCGGCTCGTGCGGCGTCGGATCCGCCGGCGCTGCCCTCGTGCAGCCGGCAGCGCTGGCGGCCTGGAGGGGCTCCTCCCGGGGGGCGCCGTGCCCGCTGCCGCCGAGGAGCTGCGCCCGCTGCCCAGCCGGCCTAAAACGACGCGAAGATCGGGACAAAATCGGATCGGGATAACTCGAAATCTATGAGAATCGGCGGGTTTGGAGGATGTATTGGGCGCCGCGGCCGCTCCAGAGCGTTCCGGAACGCTCTGAGAGCGCTCCGGAACGCTCTGGAGCGATTTATCCCGATCCTAGCCTTGTTTTAGTGGTGGTGGCGGCTCGCACGGCGAGGCTCTCCGAGGCCGCCGGCGCCGAGTGTGCGGCTGGGCTCGAGCCGCGCGGCGCCGCGCGCGGCGCTCGGGGCGCACGGCGCGCCCACCTCTTCCGGGAGCCGCGCAGCGCTCCGCAGAGGTGTTGTTGGTCGATGGCGCGCGTGGCACTGTCGTCGTCGTCGTCGTCGTCGTCGTCGTCGTCGTCGTCGGCCTCGCCGCCTGGGCGGCGGGGCCGCCGGTGGGACGCTGCCGGGCATCGTGGGTCGCTGGGCCAGCGATTGCGCGCCAGTCTCAAGTCGGGCCTGTCCCTCCACAGGAGGGGTATTCAAAAATGGTAAGAAAATACTCAGGGGACGATTTTTCTTTTTTTGGGGATCATTTTTCGTGTTTGTGCCAATTTTTCGTTTTTCGTCCAAAACCCGCCTGCAGGGGGACATGCCCGACCTAACGCCAGTCGGCGCTAAGTTCTCACGTGCCTGGTCTGGGTCTGGAGGGCGCCCGAGGCTCGGCCAGGCGCGCGGGTGGGTGGGCACCTGCTGTCGGAGGTTGACGGACCTTCTGATTACCCTGACGCGTCGATGAGGGAATCGGCCGTTTCCGGTTCGCGAGAGGGCGTCGCGGCCGTCATTCTTTCGGGTCCAGGTCCGTCGGTTTCGGTCCTACGCCGTTTCCACCAAAAGGAGGTTTACTAAAGGGATGTTTGTCCACCGCCGAGGCTGCGACAGGAGTTCGTGGGCTGCGCCATGGGCACCCCCGGTGCTTCGCGGAGATTCGCGGCCCAATTGGATTGCGGGCCGATCGTGGCGGACGCGTCCGAGCTGGGTGCGGGAGTCTCGATCGGGCGCGGGCTCGCGGGCCGGGTGGCGCGCGGCGCGCCTGCGTCGGGAGCAGCGCCGTGCTCGTCGGCGAGTGAATAAATGGTGCTTTGTCGGCTTCAGCGGCGGCGCTGGCGCGCTTCGAGCGGCCGCGCAGCGGCTGGAGCTGCCCGTTGCCGCCGCTCTTACAGTGGATGCGCCGAGGGGGGCCAGGGGCGTCTGCGCCCAGAACTGGGGCGGCGATCGAGTCGCGAGCTCCTCTGTGGAGGCGCGCCTGAGGCAAGTCGAGGATCTCGCGCGCGACCCCGTCGCGCGCCCCGTCGTTGCGCGCCTCGCGTCGGATGCGACAAGCAGCGCCTCGCGATGCCCAGGCGCGGTGTCGAGGCTCTTGAGGTCGCGAGGCAGGTGTCGGACGAGGTGCCTTGCGGGGTCCGCCGCGGCGCCGCCGCTCGACTCGCGGGTCATCTCGGAGGCGCCAGCTCGGCATGAAACCGTTGCTGATCGACGCTTTTAGTTCTCGGCGGCGGGCGAAGGGGGGAAGTGAGCAGGAGAGGGCCTTCTCAGAGGGCTCGGAAGTCCCCCGGCCCTAGAAGTTTGCTAAGCCTTCCCCGGAGACACACCGCCTTCTGAGAAGGCTTCCTTCTCGCTTCCCCCCCTCGCTCGCCGCCGAATTTCGACGGCGACGCCGACGGGGTTTTGCCAGGGCGCGCGTCGCGATCGCCGTCCACGCGGCCAGCTGGGAGGCGCCGCGTGCCGATGTCGTTGACGCGGCGGGCGCGCCCGGACCAGCGTCTGCGGCGCGGCCCCGGCCCTGGCGCCCGGGGACTTTCATTGCTCCGCTCGACGCGCCGGGCCTCGCCGAGGCGCCATCCCGGACGGCGGGGTCGCGGAGGCGCGGCAGCCGCGGGCCCCCCCGCCGTCGCGCGGCGAGGAGGGCGCGGCGCTCTCGCGCCGCGGCCCTCCCGCGCGGCCGCGCCCCGGGCGGCGAGCGAGCGCGAGGTGCTCCGCGGATCTATCCTGGGCTGCTTGCTTGCTCACCACCCACCAAACCACCCAAACCCAACCCGAAGGCCCAGATTTACCCTCGATTTCTAGTGGGGGGGGGTCGGGAAACATCGAAAAAACACGCGTGGAACCCTTGCCCCCCCCCACCCGAAATTCGGGTCTTCGGGTTGGGTGGGGTGGTCTGGTAGGTAGTCACTTGCGGGCTGGGGCGAAGCGAGTGGGGGCCGAGTGGCGCGGGCGAGCTCGGCGGCCGCGTCTTCGCCTTCCTCGCCCCGCGCGCAGTGCGTCGGGGCTCTTCCCCGGACGGCGCGGCGGGGAGAAGCCCGGGCGGGGTCCGTCGCGCGCGCCGCGGGGGTCGCGGGGGATTCCGAGGGCCTCGACGGTCGACTCGCGGCGCTGCCGCCGACCGAGCAGCGCGGCGAGGCGGCGGTGTCGATCTCGCCGATGTCGGACAGCGATCGCGCGCGGGCCATCGGGCGGGAACCCTTCGCGTGGCGCGACTGTCGCGGCGGCGACGCCC